TGTCTGAAGAATCTATTGCTCTTTGTTCCATCCTAAGCTGGAACTTCACTGGTCAAACTAAGACCTTTGGCAGATACAGTTTATGGTACTGTCTGTACATTAAAAAGCTTTCATCTAATCAACCTATAGTCCCAATCACAACAATATTTGTTCTGGACATATAAGTGCATGATTTGAGATAACCCAAAGATTCTTTGTTCTGGACATATAAGTGCATGATTTGAGATAACCCAAAGATTCTTGGTGTTAAGAGAGACCCAAGTACTCAGTAATTTATCTGGTTTGAGTAAAAAGTGATACAATATGGCAGTGTTTCTCAATCTTGGTAATCTTAAATTTAAGTCTAAGCATTTTAAACTTGCCAAAGCTGAGAAACACTGAAGCAAGTGTGCCATGGTTGACAATATATAGGTAAATTGAAAACTCTGAATTGGATGACCTGCATCTAGAATTGTATCTTAAACTAGACCAGTGTTTCTCAAACTTGGCAACTTTAAGATCTGTGGACTTCAGCTTTCAGATTTCTCCAACCTACCATGAGGCGTTCCACTGGCTGAAATACTCTGGGAGTTGAAGTCTACATATCTTACAGTTGCCAAGTCTGGGAAACACTGATCTGGATAGAGTAGAATTCAGAGCCTTTTTGTCTCAAATTAGGCAGGAACATAGCACTATGGGAGGCCAAGAGAATCATCAACAATCTTGTAGGTTCTTACAGTCTCTCCCCTTTGTTTCTTTTTCTCCCTCTTTTAATTGACTCCATATAATGCTTTGCCTAGCAGTAAATATTTGTTACAATTGTTTATCTGCCCACCTGTCTCCCATTAGTTTATTTTGTGTCATAAAGGAGATTGTTTGGAAGAGTCTCAGCATGAGAGGACTTTGGGTACTTTAGCAGCGTGTGAAACTGAAGTCCCTGGGCTTTAGATTGTTATCTTGTGGAACTGCATCTCAATTTTGATTTGAACAGGAAAAGGTTATTAGGAGGGTCCATGATGATGCAAGTCACCTCTATTAATTAGCAGCTCCATAAAAAGCCATAATCTTTTCCTGAAATCTCACAGGTGCATCCTCTTTCTTACACAAGTCAGATTGTGCATCTCTTTAGCTTGACAAAGATTAAAAATTCTAGAACAACAACACATCTGCCTCTCTTGTTTTCTGAGGTAGGCCTCGGAAAGCAGAACAGCAGATAAACATGTTAAGCTGCTGATTAGGAAACATTTCAATCAAAGCAAAATGTTAGTAGCCAGGGCCAGCCCTCCTGATCAACAAATCAATATAACTGCCTTAAGCAGCAGATGCTGAAAAACAACAGTAACAGCCACAGATATAATTCCTAAAAACCTTTGAGGTTCCCTTCAGTTGTAGAGGAGATAAGTGATTATTAAACAGCCTATCAACTAGAATCCTATCAATGCAAATTCTGTGCACAAATGTAAGGTACCCCAGTTTTGCATCAGTACAAAAAATTCATTTTCTGTTTGTATGGGTAAAAAAATGCCTTAGGGAAGAATTAACCCAATGAAAATTGCATACATTAATTACAAAATGTTGATTACCATTTGGCAAATAAGGGATGAAAAATACCAAAAGGGAAATATGCAGGATTGCCCCTGAGAAGAACAAGGGTGATAATTGAGAGAAACATTAATTCAGTAGACTGATACATAGATAATTTTGTTCTGTAACTTAATAGTTCAAATCATTATAGGTATTTTTCATGTTATCTGTCTTTACTATGACAATAGTTCCCTTCTTTTCCAAGTAGCATTTTCCAACAAGGCCAGAGAAAGTTATTTCAGTTGCTGTTGAACAACATACTTGGTAATTCCTGAAGTTATTTATTAACAAATAACAGGGTTTCAAGGGACCTTGGACATCTTCTAGTCCAACCCCCTGCTCAAGCGAGAGGCCCTATACTATTATGGACAAATGGATGTCCAATCTCTTCTTAAAAATTCCAGTGATAGAGAACCCACAATTTCTGAAGACAAGCCATTCCACTGGTTAATTGTTCTGTCAGAAAATATCTTCTTAGTTCTATGTTGCTTCTCTTCCTGATTAGTCTCCATCCATTGCTTCTTGTCCTACCTTCAGGTACTTTGGAGAATAGATTGATCCATCTTCTTTGTGGCAGCCCCTCAAATATTGGAACAGTTATCATGTCTTCTTTTCACTAGACCAGATATATCCAATACCTGCAGTCATTGTTCATATATTTTAGCCGCCAGCCCCCTAATCATATTTGTTGCTAATTGTTGCTTTGTTGTTAATTGTCTTAAAACTCTTCAGCAGAACATTGGAATATCTTGGAGATTTGCTTCTCTTCTGTTACAAAATACATGGTCTTTTGCACTCTTTACTCCAGTCACAAAACTGCAATTAGAAAGGAATAAAATCAAGAAGCTTTGTTGGAGTTTTGATCAACATCCTGGGAGCAGAGAGACATCTTGTGGTTATTTAAGTCTCAGAGTAGTATCACATTTTCCAGGCTATGCAGTCTGAGCCTATACAACTTTATTTTAGGCAACTACCTAGCATTACTACCTATGTGAGGCACTCAGAAAAAATCATGCTTTCTGTTTGAGACAGTAATACACTATCCAGAGGGGACCAGGACACTGGTGGGTTTCTGCTGGTTCAGCCCAGATCGGGCGAACCAGTAGTGGTGGCAGCGAGGGGCTCCCCCCACCCGCCCAGATGCTTCTGTGCATGCACAGAAGCGTCATGCAAGTGCGAGTGCACGAGCAAACCGATAGTAAAAAAAAATGGAAACCCACCACTGGACCAGGAGTAGGCACATGGGACATGTGTGGCCAGATGTTGTCAAGGTTTGTGTAGAGTGTGCCATCCACCCCTGGTAGGATCTGTCCTCAACCTCTCAGATGCCACTTATGAAGGAAGCTGAATGTGTAGTATCGTCCTTCTGATGTGGGAGGGGGAAATGATTTTCTACTAACATAGAGGTCCATTGGTTAGGCAAATGTATACACCCAAATGCCCTCCATGGTTCCCTGCCACCCTGGAAATGCACTTGGATGGGAAAGGCTTCTTCAGACATTCTTGAAGACATTCTTCAAAGTCAGGAACATTCATGTCAGCCAAAGTGGATAGTATAATGTGGAGGCAAACAGGCTTCCTGAGATTGGTTTGATGAGTGGGTAACCGAGTTTAATTTATAAATTGGTTAGAAGTAGCACACCATGGAAACATTGATGTTACTCCCCACTATAGCTCTTTATCAAGAACCTGGGATTATTGTTCCCAAGCCTTTTGAAACAAGGAAGGAAGGGACCAAAAAAAAGAGCCCAGAAGACAATGCAAGGTAAAGAAGAAACTATTTTAATTGCAGGCTGCTCTGAGTTGTTACAGTATTTCTCCCATACAACAGAATTCTCCTGCTGACACAGAGTGCTTGGGATAGTACTTACACTGACTATGATATATATGAGATAAGTCACTACAAATTGTGCTTCCCACTCACCCCCACCCCCATCCAGTTTCAGGAGCCATATGTTTTCTAGTTGTTGTTTTTTTCTATGCAGGCAATTCAGAAAATCCAGCAGCCTCCTTCCTCAACTTCAGCATCCTTGTTTCACGTACAGCCTTCTCAGCATGGATTCAAGATGCAAGTCCGGGTTGATCCAGTACTGCAAGATAAACTTAAATCTACACTATCTTCATCCTGACTCTTTCCCCATGTGATAGACTAATATAGCATTTAATTCTTTTCCATCTTTCTGGATTACTGTAGAATCAATGTATAGTAGTTCTGTCCTGAAGATGTTTTGATGACATCAATAGATTCAGGCAATCAAAGTTTCTTCTGACAGCAGTTTCAATAATATTGCAGTTTTCTGATCATAAATTAAGATGACATATGTGAAACTTCCTTTAAAAAAAAGGGTCCCCTCCCTTAATTCTCTATTACTAATATACTCTATGATATAGTCTATATACTCTATGACACAGGGCTATGGTATGGACTATAGTAGGTTGATGGAAATTCCTTGGTGGGAGCCAAGAAATCATACCATAGAGAGTTAAATAAATATTACTACAGGCTTATGATAGGCACCATTTGCAGGTGCCTATAGAACCAAGTAGGACTTTAAAAAGCCTAACATTCAATACTATAAAAAGAATACCTAGTAAAATTTGATAGGTTAAAAATATTCTTCTTAAAGCCACCTGAGGTGTTTGGGAAGATTATGCATTAAGAATGTAGATTCACTATTTGACTTCCTGCTGTATTGTTGAATATTTTTTCCTGCTAGATGTTTTGTAAAAACTGCAGAATATTTCAATAATTTGAAAGCAGTACATAATGTAAAGATTACAGTCAATGAGACTGACTGGAATATTAGAACACTGAGGCAAAGAGACAAATGATCAGCTGGTTAAAAAAAAACCCATCCAGAATAGAATTACTGTAGAACTGATAAGCACCAGCCTCAGTTCTGATGTTGAAATTTCAGACTGATAACATATGGGTCTGAAAATACTAACCATCTTAAACTAACTCAGCATTCAGTATGGTGGTTTACAAATCTAGCAGCTGCACTCACATCTCCTCTAAATGGTACTGTCAGAAGGAAGCTGAGCTTATTTCAAGAGGCTGCCATTAGTGTTCAATGTTGCTGACTTTACTATAAAATAATCCTACTATATTTTTGTTTTACAGAATAATCTGACGCACATTTAGGATTACCATATGTGATCAACAAAATTTAGACGGCAAGGAAAAGTTTCTATGCTGCCATCCCATGGCCATATATGGTAACTAAGCATGCCTATCTGCATAGAATCAGGCAGATAATATTGCAACCACCTCCTTACTGTATTTCTATCATAATAATGCAATTTTTCTCATAATAATCTAACCACATATCATCGCACTGGGATTCATCACATTATTCATTCATTGTTTGCTTTATAAGTCTTTTTTAGAACCTAAAACAAGGTGTATCTTGGGAACATTGATTCATTGACTAGAAGGATCAACTCATGATGGCAGAAAGTTGGGCTCAGTTTATAATGTCATAGGTGAGCCAGGAATAGTTATAGGATTCATTTTGACCTTAAGCATGAATATGTTCAGGCAACTCATGCTCCCAGATAGCAATAGCACTTAGACTTATATACTTCCCCATAGTGCTTTACAGCACTTTCTGGGTGGTTTACAATATCCGCATGTTGCCCATCGGGTATTTTTGATAAAAGAACTACATCATTCCAATGCTGGAAAGGCTGATCAAAGTGGAAGCCTCCAAAATTTAGAGGCCACGACTTGTTTCCGAGACAATAGTTATATGGTTGAAATTTAATAAGATTTGATTTTGGACCAAGATATAGGAGATGTACTGTATAGCATATTGTTTCAGACAAGGCTTTTAAATTGCAAAGACCTTACTTCATTCCTGGAATCTTATGGAGAACCTATATGAAGTTGCCTGCCATTTCAATCTTCTCATGGTCTCCTACTTCTTCTGGAAGCACATAAAATCAGTAGGAGTATTAGCATTAAAAGCATTTTCTTAGATTGCTGGGCTCATTCTTTAGAAAGAAACATGAATATTATCAGACGTGTTCCAGATAGGTTGCATGTTGCATTTCTCTTCTAGGTGCTTGTATTTACAAAAGCTGTAGTTTGTGCTATAGGGGTTTTTTTTGCCTATCCCAAGTGGCTAAATAAGGTTTAGCTAAGGGGTAGCCCAGTGATAAATGGAAGAAAATAGTCTGCCTTTCCTACCTGGAGCCCTCTATTTGAGTTAAATCTCACTTTCCATTATTTCCAGCTTTAAGGTTGGTTAATTTAATGTTAGTTGAGATTACAGCAATTTAACTCTGATAAATACAGAAGGCACCAAGCTGGAAAGGGTCATTCCATCAAGTGAGCAGGAATATTGCATATCCATTAACTTCTATTGACTATTTGTTTTACAAAGATTGGGCATATATGTTCCTACATCTGTTAAGCAACAGGCCCTACATTATTCTACACTGACAGAAGATGATATCCCCTCCTGCCATTATCCTTTTCTATGTTTTAGTTTAGCAGCATACAGTACATGACCATATTTTGGGCTCATTCTATTGGCAATATAGCTGAACACAGGCCACAGATTAATGCAGTGCTTCAGTAATATTCCTGTCAGAATAAGCCAGACATTTTATCTTGGTCCAAGTCCACAGTCATAGAATATCCATACAAAAGCAACAGAATGGCCTTGAAACAGATTATATTATAGGAAGAAAACTAACTCTAGTAGAACAAAGATAAGCACAACAGCAGATATGAGTCTTAACACAGAGAGACTCGATGGATCAATTGCTCAAGGCATCTAACACTTATTCCCCTCATACCCCAGTTGCTGATTAGCAAAATGCCACAATGAAATACTGTTACATATTTTCACAGAAATAATGACAGGAGTGCCCTTTTGTGCTCCACCCCACCCTCCCACCCCATGGGCAGCTCAGCAGGATGTAGTCACTAATCAGACACTAAAAAATTATAAATATATCAAATATACAATAAAATATATCTGTACAGCACTGAGAATGAAAATAGTTCACTGATCACTTTGGAATATGTTTCTCATTTAACAGAATTTACACCAACATTTACAGAATAAATATACAATGGAAATAGAATCTATAGATTATTGTCTTCTCTCTTTATATATATATATATTATGTACAAACAACCAATATACGTTCCTTTGTCTTCCCACTGCCACTAATCATACACCACAAACAAGAACGAAGGAAATGCTATGGATCCATTGTGGAAACACTTTACCTAGACTGGCTTCTCCTTGAGAAGCCAATAGAGGGGCTTTGCATGAAATTAGCTCCAGTCAACCCAATGGCCCTTCAAACATGTCCCAAGGTGCACAGAGCAAATCAAGAATTCTGGGAATCTCTGACAATTTCCTTCCATGCAAAAGAAGAAGTCTTCAGGAGAGGACAATATGGAGAGGAAGGGGAAACTCTGTATTCAGCAATTAGCTTCTTCAGTGATTGCCTTTTCACATTTTGCATGATCTCTAGACAACAGGGGCTGGGTGATATTTTTTTCCCCTTAATGGAGTCCAGAGGGTGGGGGTGCGGGTGGGACTATCAAAAGATAAATAAAAAGGGAATTGAGTCTTCTAGCAGATTTTTTTTTTATCCCTATTGGATTCATTCTTTTTTTTATGACTCATAAAAAAATCAAGTGGCATCTCCTTCACCTTAAAACATAATATCTTTATAAAAAAAGAAAGCAGTCCATTTAATTGCTTCCATCACAAGCTCATATGATCTCTGCTTATAGTCTTGTCAAAGACATACAGAGAAGTCAGAAGAGGAATCAAAGAACAGGAAACAAAAATCTGCTGAAACCAATAATTATAACACTATTCTGAAAAGAACCTTTGTCCTAGAACTGCCAGTGTCTATAGTATAATGAAGAAAAAGTAAGAAGGCTTAATGAAAACTACAAGGCCACCCTTGATTGTCTTTCACATCTTAACCAACTAATATCCTTAATTTCTAAAATAGCAGTCATCACAAAAGATGTTTCTAAGAGAAAGTCCACTCTGAACCTTCTTTAACTGCAGCATTGCTTCTAATTAATTGATTCCAGCAGTGACAATTACTCTATCTTAATCACCTTGAAGTCAACTGTGATTTTTTGTAGTCTGAAAATAAACTTCACTGATCTATATAAGACTTATTTCTAGTGTCTATAAAACTGTTTATGCTTTGAAAAAAAAAGGATGCAAGTGCTCGAAATCAGACAAGTATAGTTACTATTATTTTTTGAAGCAGTCCAGCTTTTCCAACTGTCTGTACAAACCTGGAGAAAGATGCTGCTCTTTAAATTTATATAGAAGCCTTAAAAAGTTAGGGAGCGGGGTTAAGAAATAGAATACAAGCTTTTTCTACTTTGTGGGCACTTCTTTCCATTTTTTTTCAAAGCATGCAAAACCTGCCTTTTTGTACAATTGTCATAACTACCAATTCAGGGTATATGATAGTTAAAAACAGAAACTGCCATAATTCTTATCCTCCTGATCATTAGCTGCTTTGAATCAGGTTGTTTCAAATTTTTGTGTTTTAGAATATAGAATTACATAGGGAAATGTTAACATAGTAATATCTGGATGAGTATTTAACTCCAGTGGGTGGAGTGAAAAGTAGTCCTATAGTCTTAAAAATGATTGCAAGTGCTTCTGCATACTGTTTGATTCATATTCTTAGCCTGTTGTGATATATCTGCATAAATGACTGGAGAAAAGAGTGAAGGGAAATTGGAAATTGACCAACCTTGTAATGAAAATGGAAAAACAATGCCATACACTGGTACCCATTTGTTTCTTTGAGCAAGTGGTTTACCTAAAGAAATGCTCAAGAGATTACAACTTCAGATGATGCATTAATGTGCCTTTTCTCTTCTGTATATAGGATCTAAATGAACAGATTGATTTTAAAAAAGGAAAATAAAGATTAACAATTAGAAAAGACCCATTGACAGAGTAAGCTGCTTGCTTGGGACCAACACGTGACCTGCAAAAAGAGAGACTTCATAGCAGATTACTGCTGGTGCTGAGGTACGAGGTTTCCTATATATATATATAAAAAAATCTTCAGATATTTGTAAACTCCAATTCCCATCAGCCCTAGCCAGAATGCCGATACTGAGCATTGATCAGACTTAATGGTCACCTGATCTCAAAGGCTCTTATTTTTGAACTCTATCCTAATTCTATAATCCTGTCATCTGTAGCAGCTGGACCAGATTTCCAATAGCCATCATTTAATTTAATTGATTCCAGTGGAATTATATTGACTCATATCCAAAAGATTTATTCCTGACTAGGAAACATGTAGAGCTATCACAGAAAATGGCTTCTTTTCTTTTTCTTTTTGCAAAATATTTGCTTTTACAGGACTCAGATAAAATAAAGTAATGTGATACTTTATGACTGGACTAAAAAAAGCCAGAAACGGACTGAAATATGAGCTACCTCCATTGTCTATTCAGATTGTAATATATTGCAGGCTTACTTAAATAATATCATGTGGAAAAGGAGAAATTGAAGTATAATTATGCATAATCCTCCAGGTTACCTGAGTAGTCTGAAGTCAAATCTGAACCCCAAGAACAAAAAGAGAATCCATTGTCTGCTGAAATGAATTAAAAAATTGTGACCTCTTTAAATGCAGCGGTACAGGCAAACCAAATCATGAGGAAACATTCTAGAAAGGCTCTTACTGTAAAAATGCTAAGTCTCTGGAAAGTAGGACATTCTTCATCATTTTCTTGACATCTTGACATTTTCCCACTGACACTTCATTGCCTCTATAGGAATAAACTAGTTGTTTTTCACTATTGCATAATGAGTGTATATCCTGGATAATTGGAGTTCCTGACATTAATTTAATGCATTGTGATATACTGTTCAGTGTTGGGCCACATTGTGCTCCAGAAGCCCAATGAATAGAATGAGGTGGAGTTAGGACACCAGATCTTGGCTTCTGTTTAATTGCTGATTTATGCTGAACACAAATTCAAACCTTATTTCTCTATTCCACCACTTAGAAAAGACTTGTAAAGTTAAAATATGTTGTATATTCAAAGCAGGATAAAAATCAGCCTTAACTGATGGTATCAGGGAACAACACTCTGAAAATATCATAAGTACTATCACTGACTAATTACCTATTTAATTTTTCATAATGCCCCAGACACAACTTTAAAGGTATTATTGGTGATTAATACTCCAGCAGATTCAGGCACTCAATAATGTTCAAAACGTAATATTTTTCTTTTTTGTTGTTTTTGTTTACCTAGAGAATTGTGCATAACATTAGTCTCAGAAATTAATAAACAACTGGCCATAGAGACCAATCCCAATAATCACATTTAAAGTGGCCTCTATAAATCTTTTATACCATAATTGCAGGCATCTTGTTAACTCTCTTGTCAACTCTCTGCACATGAACTCTTGAAGCATCTTCTGCAAATAATTTAGAGCTCCTCCCAATATGTATTATTTTCTACTTTAAAAAATCAGACTTCAGTCCACATGTTGCAATCAGGGGAATATTTACATTTCAAAACTAGAGAAGGAGAAAAGGAAAAGGAAAGGAGGAAGGAGGATCCAGGTGGATATGTTTAAAATGTTCATTAATTATATGGTTCACCTGAACAACTTTGTAAAGACTTATAATGGTTAAACTATCTCATATAAATTGTAAAATTTTGGAGGAGGAGAATGTTTTAAAATTGGTTTTAAAAATTAGCATTGCTTGAATCACTAACTGAATGTGACTAAGTGGGAGGCAAGAACTCTTTACTTTAGCGATCTTATCAATTCCATCAATATCTGATACATGATTGATATATGTGCAGTTATTTTTCTCACTGCAGTTAAAGAAAACAGAGGTAACAGTTTGAAGAAAATGTTTAAATTATCTTAGGTATAAAATATAAAACATTGTTTAGAAAGTTTGATAATCCCACCATACTAATCCTGGCTGGGGGACATAATTCACATGTGCTATGTTGAAGGAAATGTGCTATCAATGTTTTTAATGTGCTTGTCATTCCTTTCCAAATTATAATATAGGAAGATGCTTCCATGTATTTAGTGTGTGCCCACGTAACAGGAGTAGAGAACCTGAAGCCCTTCAGATGTTGTTGCACTGCAGTTCCCTGCATTCCTTATCATTAGCCTTCCTAGCTGATGCCAATGAAATCTAACAGCCTGGAGAGCTACTGATTCTCTCCATCTCTATTGTAGAAAAGAGCTGCTACTAAAATAGTTCTTACTATGCCCTATATTTCATAAAAAAATTAATGTCAGCATTTAATTAGAGTTCTGTGAATAATGTCACGAATGACATCAGGAATTCTAGAAAACTACACTGATAGAACTACGTCTTGGTTCTGACTGACACACGTGGCACAAACCTAAATTTGTGATAGAGGAACACTGTGAGTTTCAGCAGCATGCATACCACGGCCAGCTTCACTGAAACAAACACCTTTCAGGGTTTTTTTTTATCCACCTTCAGCAATAACATCACCAATCTCACATAATGCAACAACAAGCATTCTAATGTGTTTTGTACACAAAATGTATCTTATTGAAGAATTGTAAGAACTCTTCACTAAGATTGTGCAACTTGGATATGGTCCTGGTAGAATACATATAGGGCTTTTAAAATCTTGTGCTATGAATAGTGGTCGTTATTTAGCAAATGGGACAAAAGCTTCTTCTCCTAACTAAAAGTAAGGGATGGAGAAAGAGAAAGAGAGAGTCAGGGAACCAGCTGCTTCTTGTTTTTGCTTTGGCTGTTTCCTTATTCCATCTCTCTCCCCCAATCTTAGATTTCTTGAAACAGGTTATCTATGTTTTTCAATACCAATTAGCTAAAATTTCCCCTTTGCCCATAAGATTTATTGCAATGTCCTCTTATTCACTGAGGAAAATTATGGTATTTCATTTGAAGAGCACCAGAAGGAAAGCAACTTTCCTTCTCAACCTTTTACACTTGATATCATCTACCTCTGGTTGCTATGCATGATGGGAAGCTTTTTTTTAAAAAAAGAACAGTTGTCCTCCTTCAGGACTATCTTCTCTTTCACCCAGGAAGTAGGGGAAGGCTACTGGTTGATGGTCACAGTTCAGATTCAGGAGTGGTATCCATGAGGTACCCACTGCTGTAGCGTCCATTGGCAACATTACTCATTTCCATTGGGGACGTGCTCCCAGGGCCCAGGTAAGAGCGATGTGCAGGCATTGGAGAAGGGGTTTCACTGGGAACTTTGCTCAAGATGAAACGGGTCTCATCATTGTCTTCTAAGTTGGATATGTCCTTCATCATACGCCCCTTTTTGTATGTGACTGACAAAGCATTAGAACCATCTGACAGCAGATGGAATTGGCGGAGGATAAAGATGACAGGCAGAGGAAGGGTGGCCAAGATGATCAGAGACACAAGTATGCCCATTGCCCATTTGGGGTAATAGAGAAACTTCTCCGTTGCCTGGAAGGAAAGGGGAAAAATAATTCGGCATATATTATTGGTATTATGCATATAATAATTACCTTAGTAGTTCTTTGGAACTAAGGCAAGCATAAAACCATTCCTCATCCATCACCTTTTAGAGAAGGAACACATTTTGAAAGGAGATGTTTACAGGAATTAAACTGCTACCAGTAAACAATATTCCTTTCTCTTCATTTCATATAGGTAAGTTCTTCCTTTTCTGTGTCAACAATTTGTCTGCTTCCTATTCATTTTAGGCAGCTTACACCTCCAAGTATATAAAAATACAATTCTAGTAGTCTAAAGTCGGCTATGACTGCAAAGTAAAAGCCGTAGGGACTCCTTTACCTTACCTTTATTCTCTCACTAATATATGTACAATCCTTCCCTAATGTTGACTAGTGACGATTTATTTCATTACTGTAGCCACCCAACTCAACCAAGTCGCTTTTGTTTGAAAAGTGATATGAAAAAAGTAGCTTCCATAATCTAGGACCAGTTTCATAATCTAGGAATTTCCTGCCAAAGGAATAAATGCTAAAATCATTTTTCAGTCAGAGTCTTCGTAGTGCCCTGCCAAAACATAATTCTGGACTACCTTATTTTAAAGCGTATGAAACTGGGTTATATAAAAATGGTGCTAACTTGAAGGATTACATGAAGGGGGAAGAAAATATCACAGTTCTTTGGATCTCTAATGTTCAATCGCCATTCTGTTGTCAGAACAAGGGTTCTTTTGGCTTAATGTATATGGGCCCTGATCTAGTATTTACGTAATTTCATCTGTGCTGAGGATTCAGTGGCTTAATTACATATTGCCACACTGTTTATGATCAACTGATATGCAGCAGCCTATGCAAATGAAATGGATTGGTTTCATGCTGATGCGCAATTTATGGATTTGAAAATGTTGACGTATAATTTAGGCAGACTCACCTCTTCTCTTATCCAGGCACTATAACCTGGTGGATTGACTGCTAGCTGAATTATACTGGCCGTCATCAAGCCAGCCATACAGATGGGTGAAATATACTTCCATGTATAAAAATAGTAGCTGGAAGGCCGGAAACCCAGCATTTCTGTTAATTCCTGCATGAATCTAAAAAGGGAGAAGGAAGAAAGTGAACAGGTGAAGCACAAATGCCAGATTTCTGTCTTCTTATTTCACACTGGATGGAGAAATCCAGAAATCAAAAAACTTTGCTGGCATTAGAAATCTAAAGAAGAATCAAGAAATCTGAGGATTTTGTGATCAGGTAAGGCCATTATATAAAAAGTGGTTTTAGAAGCAAAAGAAGGAAGAAATATAAGAACATCAGTTCCACTGATTTCTTTTGAAAGAACTCTTACTTCTTGGTACCGTAAATCCAAGCCACAGTAATGTTCTCCAGGATTACCACGAGAGTGAGTGGCAGCGTTGCAGAATAATCATCAAACATGGTGACGAAATAGTTGCCTGAGCGTTGCACAAAGATCAGACCCACCAGGAAAGCAAAAATGCAACAGCCAACTGTAAGGAGCAGATGACAATTGTTAACACACATAATTTGCTCTTGGATGCAAGGGCTGTTATGTTGGTCTTGTTAACATATTTTGTTATGTTTATCCTATGGATATAATTCTACTGCCTAAAAAAAATAATTCACAAAATAAAAAGTCCTGAATAGAAGTTCACAAATCATGAATATAGTCCATACTGTGGAATAAATAAATGCACTTCTATCGCATGTTTAGGCATGACAGAATTGGCATGTGCATTCAGTGGCAAACAGGCAAATGAGTGTAAAAGACCAAATGCAGGATCCAGCTGAACTTCTTTGTACAGTAAGCACTATGCTCTTATGCTAAGCAGTCCCTCTTCATCCCTACAGGGAAGCTAACTAAAGGCAGGATAGAGCATAGCATTTAATCCTCCTGTGTTTAAAAACATGATTCCAGTGTGCATGCTTCCCTGAGAGTAAGTAGCCGTTGCAGAAAATAGGGATTATTTCCATAGGAATTGCTTCCAAGTAAACATGCAAAAGCTTGCAAAGTATCATGAGACAAACAGGATAAATTATCTTTAGAGAAAGGTAAAACAAATTTTGCTATAAGTCTGGGAGAAACTTGACTTAATGGTATGATGTATTGCAGAGAAAATGCTTTAATTTTACCTGAGCAAATCAGCAAAGATGCCACATATCACAACATTTATAGATTAGAGATGGCTCCAGTTAAGAATGTGCAGATTGGGTGAACTCAAGGTCAAGTTTAGCCCATAGAGAACCCTCCCATTTATATGCTACATTTGGACTGAAATTACATATATTATTTTATCACACTACATTTCACTGAAACCAGGAATATTTACTTCCAAGTAACAATACATAAAATATGATGTAGTCACAAAACCACTTTCCAAACACCACTCAGACCTACTCACCACAAACTGTTCTGTAAAGCAATACTTAATAGCTATTAGGAAAATGATCAAAATGATTAGCTATTATGATCATGATTATAAGATTAACTTCCCAGATGCTGAAAGGAAAAGGCTATTCCTGCTTCCTGATTAAGGTTCTGAATTAGGACATTGGAGGAAGAGAAAGGATACCTGTGGCTTAATGGGCCCATTAAGTATTGGCCCATTGTTCTGCAGGCGCAGAACAATTTACAGAGAATTGCACATGCGCAATCACTAAAAACCAAAATGGTGGCGGCCCAGCAGCGCCAAGGGAACTGGTTTGGGGGTGTGGCAGGCGTGGGTCACTGCTGGTTCTGTGACCCAGGCCTGAATTCCACTACCAGTTCAGCCCAAGTGGGCCAAAGCAGGAGCAACCCACCTCTGACCGAGACTGATCAGTTCTAATAGCAATAGCGCTTTCATAGTGCTTTTACAGCCCTCTCTAAGTGGTTTACAGAGTCAACCTTGAGCCAGTGAGATTTGAACTGCCAAACTGCAGCTAGCAGTCAGCTGAAATAGCCTGCAGTGCTGCATTCTAACCACTGCGCCACCTTGGCTCAAATATATCTCTTGAAACCAAAGGTTTTACAACTGCCCTATTACACTGCAGTTTTCTCTTTGCATTTCCCTGAGAAGGTTACCTTACCTGTTAATGCTTCTTTGCGCACTTTGAACATGTCAATGATGGGTGTGGTGATGCCAGCCATGGTCCCAATCATGCTCCCCAAACCCAGGTTTATCAGCATCAGGAAGAACATCACTGACCAGAAAGGAGAAGCTGGGAAGTGGGTCATTGCTTCTGTGAAAGCTATGAATGCGAGGCCAGTTCCCTGCACTGACTGTACACAGCCAAAAGAAGATGCTTATGTTATTCTTGACAACAGAAAGAGTTTTATAAAAGCAGATGTGGTGTATGTGTGTGTATATGCTTGTCAATAGATTTCTGTCTGCAAAACTACAAGCTTTCAGAGCCAAACAGCCAATTACATATTACCCTCTGGTCCAATGAGGGGAATTTCCTATGTGGATAAGTAGAGGCAAAAGCATGCATGTACTGAGGACTGCACAAGCATCTGCTGCTTTCTATATATACATGCTCTGCAAGAGATAAAATAAACTCTGGCTTTATATTGCATGTATATCATAGATATGATGGGATGAGTATTTATTCCTCAAGTTTTCCCAACCTCAGTAACTTCAAATGACCCAAGCACGTTTATTCATTCATGGTCCATAAGTTCTGAATCTCTTTCTTTCAATAGCTGTGGAGAAAGGAAACCCACCATTTCAACAAATTATGGCCAACACATTGACAAAAACTACTTCACAGTGAAAAAAATTCATGAACTTTCTTTCACATCAGGTTTGACATCCAATGGGATTTTCTTATCATAGATGTTTCCACTCAGTACCCTTGAAATGAGTGCTAACTAGCAATAGATTTCAGAAACCTCAGAACATTAAAACCAGTGACAAAATTGTGGACAGAGGCATTTCCTATTGTAATTCTGCTACAATAAATACATTAACAACAAAAACAAAAGATGTCTGAGCCAATCTTCTGGATCTATGTATCATGTCTCTATGATAAACCAGCTAGAGGATCTTCGCTCAGCTATACCCCATATAGGAGTGTCAAACTTTCAGCCCACATGCTGGATGCATCATGTGCTGGCCACACCCACTCTTGGTTTAGCAAAGGGGGGGAGTCGCAATACATCACATGACAATGTGACATCGCGGGTTTGACACCCATCCCCTGTATCCAACCAATAATTTTCAAGAGCATCAAATCAGCATCTGATTTTCTTTGGCATCTCCAAGATTCCTTGCCTTACCTGGCTTTATTTTAAATCATTAAAAAGATAATTATTTCATAATTATAAATAATTACTTCAAAACAAAAGGATTTTGAAGAGAATTATATCACCTTTCTTTACAAAGATGCCTCTGGATCCTATACATCTGAAACTTTAGTCACTGCTTGGAATCAGAGGCCACTATGAGGAATGTTCTAGACATCTGCTAGATAAGTTCCTCAGATGAGGTCCAAGTTGGCCTCTGGCTGTGCAAGTCCAGCTGAGGCGATCAATGCATGGACTGCCCAGTTATTTGGAATGAATTTGTGCCAATTGATACCCCCGCCCCCTAACAAAATGGACAGGTGATAAGATTACAGCTTCAGAAAGCCTACAGGAAGCAGATTAATCTAGTACTCTTTCAGTTAGGGTTAAATCTGGATATAGTACTGAGACTGCATTGGTTGATTATCTGTGGAGGGACTGGATGTGGCCGCATCTAACCTAGTCCTCAGTCTCTTGTAGGACAAAGTGTTGACCATGTCAACAACAAACCATATTAAGAACTTATCAGTATTTACAAACCAATTCAATATCTACAGTCAATTTATATAAGGGACTTGACATTTGGGCAATATTTGATCATGTCTTCATTCCAGAAGAGAGATTGTTTCGGAAGAATTATAATGTGTCCTTTGTCTTGTAGTTCATCTCTTTCTTTTCAAAGGAATTAAGATGTCCCAAAATGCCAGTCTTTAAACATACCTTGTTAAGCTCGTCTTCCAGAAGGCAAGGATCCAACCCCAGATTCTCAAATTGATCCTTCTTCACTGTCTTTATCACAGCATACATTTCAGTGTAATCCTTGGCTGTGAGATGGGAGAAGTTCACTTGGGGTGGTATCAGGGCATGGCTGAGGATATCTGTGTTCAGATAACCCAGGATCTTCTCAGCATTTCTACAACAGAAAAAAAAGATGTACTTACAGAGACATTCTGCAGGTTTCAACATACAATGAATCCACCTACTGTCAGCAAAATAAGCCATCATTTTTAGGCTGACGTACAAGAATTAAAGGTGGCTCAGTGAAGATGCGATGGCTCAGTAGCTAAGATGCTGGCAGTCTGGCGGTTTGAATCCCTAGTGCCGCGTAACAGAGTGAGCTCCTGTTACCAACTTCTGCCAACCTAGCAGTTCGAAAGCATGTAAAAATGCAAGTAGAAAAATAGGAACCACCTTTGATGGGAAGATAACAGCATTCCGTGCGCATTTGGCATTTAGTCATGCTAGCCACATGACCATGGAGACGTCTTTGGCCATTGCTGGCTCTTCAGCTTAGAAATGGGCAATATTGGGAACGACTAGCACATATGTGCGAGGGGAACTTTTACCTTTACAAGAATTAGTTTTATTACTCCTAGCAATTTCTTCAGAAACTATATAATGAAAAGATCTCTATTTGCTGTAAAGTCGAGACAGCAATCCACTTGGAGGAGAATGACAGATGATTGAAATTGCAAATCAGCATAAAGCTGCATCTCAGAAATGATAACTATATGTGCCTAAAGCACCTGGACAGAGAAGGAAGGAGGTACTTACTCAACCACACACTTTTCATTCATGACATTGGCTTTGAAGCCCAGCACAGCAAAAACAACCAATGTGGCCAAGATGGAAGTGAAGAAATTGATAAAGGAGACAAGGGCTGCGTCAAAGTGGCAGTTATTATCTTGCTTGTTGTAACTGGAAAAGGCAATAACTCCACCAAAACCAAGACCAAGGGCAAAGAAGACCTGAGTGGCAGCTTCTCGCCATACTTGGAGATCCAACATTTTATCAAGCTGCAAAAAAGAGAGACAGACAGAAAGGTTAAGTCATCCCTGTATCTTTGTTGGTGAGAAGGGAAATGCCTACAGTATCACAACTTATAAACAAGGAGAAATATTGTAGGTATACTTTTTGTATTTATGCTGGCAAGTGTGCAATAAATTTCTCCTCTGCCAATGGAATTATGGATGATAATGGGCAAATCCCAAAAAGTTGGGGCATTTTAAAGATCTATTTAAATCGGGAAATTATTTGTTTGGAGTGTTTATATATTAATATTGCCCAATAAATTATATTCTCTGGGCAGCTTAAAGTCATAAAACATAGTTAGTTTTTATATGATTTTTACTTGATGGATTATAATTTTGCTGTTTGTTCAGTATTACTCATTGGAACACTATTTAACTCTAAGTAGCCATCAAATTACAAACTATAAAATAAATTTGTCAATGGAGCAGCATCACTGTGCTCCAGAGCCACGGTGGCGCAGTGGTTAGAGTGCAGTACTGCAAGGTACTTCTGCTGACTGTTGGCGGCCTGCAATTTGGTAGTTCAAATCTCACCAGGCTCAAGGTTGACTCAGCATTCCATCCTTCCGAGGTGGGTAAAATAAGGACCCAGATTGTTGGGGGCAATAGGCTGACTCTGTAAACCACTTAGAGGGGGCTGTAAAGCACTGTAAAGTGGTATATAAGTCTAAGTGCTAGTGCTAAATGTTAGTGCTATCAGAACTAAACTAAAAATAAAGAGTACAGTACAAAGAGTACTGTAGTGAATAAGTGAAAGATAATGTAGGAAAATTGACTTCAGATTCAATTTGCCAAAGGTGCTCAATTTCAAAATTTCACTCAGCAGTGCAAACTTAACACCTAGTTCGTCCTTTCTCAAAACTGCCAAGATCATGCAGCTACTCTCCACAGCTAGCACATAGTTCCAGATAAAGATGATATGTTTTGGGAGTTGCAGATGGCATCTGTCTGACAATCCAGACATTCCAAATCATTTTTGAAAACATCCCCAAGCGATATAAAGAAGGTCACCCAATGATGCAGAAATTTCCATAAGGAAGATGCTAACATTCTGGGATAATATCCAACAACTGAATTATTATTTCTACATATCTGACCACCAACCCCAAAAGGGGGGGGGGGGGCGGGTGTCTTAAGGCAGAATTAAAACTAGTGACAGAAAACCTCCGTTAAGTTTTAATTACAGGTAGTCCTTGACTTACAACCACAATTGAGCCCAAAATTTGTGTTGCTAAGTGAGATAGTTGTTAAGTGAATTTTGCCCCACTTCATGAGCTTTCTTGCCGCAGTTGTTAATGATTGTAGTTGAATCACTGCAATCATTAAGATAGTAGCAGGTTTGTTAACTGAATCTGATTTCCCTGTTGACGTTGTCAGAAGATCACAAAAGGTTATCAAGTGACCTTGGGACATTGCAAACATCATAAATATGAATGAATTGCCCAGCATCCAAATTTTGATCATGTGACTATGGGGATGCTGCAATAGTCATAACTGTGAAAAATGGTCATGTCAGTTTTTCCAGTCACTTTGAATGGTCACTAAGCAAACTTTTGTAAGTCAAGTATACTTAATGACCCCCTGAAAGCTCTTCTCCCTCAGCCTAAACTACCACTCAGAGTGAATGTAGAATGAGAAAACCTGGAGACCCACCTTAATAGTTAGGCACAAAGTCAACTGGGTGAATCTCAGATCTTGGAAGGAGGTGAAAGCAAACCACTTCTGAAATCTTGCCAAGAAACTGCTGGCACCTGTCTGAACAGTTGCTAGGAACTAACAATAATGTCAAGGTATTTTCAAAAAGTCTTTACCTTAGGAGTGAACATATGTAGAATCCCATCTACTGCCCCTCTCAAAAGCAAACCCCGGATCAGGAAGCAGATCAATACCACATATGGAAAGAGAGAACTGAAATACATCACCTAAGTGAGGAAGAGGATGTTGATGTAAATCAGCAGTAGCATCAACAGGCATCAAAACTAATTAGTATTTTTTTTACTGTGTCATACTTTTCTATAAAAATGTTGGGACTTTCAATTTGATGAGACAAGAAAAAATATCTTCTGGATATTCCTAGCCTCCTTGTAAACAGAACTATGATTTCCAGAAGGGCAGTCCACTAGACTGAGAAACTGAAAAACATTTTGGAAGAAGATGATGGCAACCACTTCCATGCATTGCCAAAAAAATCAACAAGGACATAGTTATACATTCACCAGTAAACATTGGTGAAGTAGCCATAGACCATAAAAATGTTTACAATACATTTGTTCATTCATTTTGTAATATATATGTTACAAGATGAATCTCTATCTGTCTCTGTCTCTCTCTCTCTCTGTCTCTCTATCTATCTATAAATATATAACAGCCATGGACCTGATCACATGCTTGTCTTTTAAATAACTACCAAAAAGCACAAGACCATAGAACATGGCATACCTATACTTCGCAAGTGTTTAGACAAAATCTGCATGTTTTCAGCATTCACTTGAACACTTTGGATGTGTAGTAGTGACTACTGATTTATAGACTTAAAAGAAGGGTTATCAATCAATTCTAAATGTCCCATTATTCTCTGTTTCAACCCATCATCCATTATACTTACTTTTCCTGAGGATTGGATTCCTTTGATCATAGCTAAGCCTACAATGAACCAAGCTGTCAGCAGGCATAAGGTCATTCTCCAGTTAAGTCCACCACTCTCTGAAATGGAGCTGGAAATGTCCAGGGCATCACGATACCAGAAAAAAGTGGTTGCAGAGCTTTTGTCACATTCCGGTTCTATGACTGCAAAAGATAAGAACTTGGATTGAATAGATTTCCTACAGATCTTTGAGTTGGCATTTGACAGTGACATGCCTCAGGTGTAGCTAAGTGAGGTAGAATTTATTTAGAACCAATCCATAGGACACATCAGGAAATATGCCTAGAGGTCTTTTTCAGAAATGGACGTGGGGAGAATGTTACTATCCAAAATTAAAGATTAAAAAAATGGTGTGATTTATACTCACTATAAAAGATTCATCTATATGCTGGGAGATGCTCAAAATCTATTAAATGCTCCATTAACTTCCAAAGTGTCTCGGTTGCATCCTTTGGGCAAAACTATTTCTTACCCACTAATACATTCTTTTATTCTAGCAGGATGAAACAGACCTGAGCTATTGTCTTTTTGTTGGAATGGAAGACTGTGCTATGCTACACTCTTAACATAACAGAAAAAGAGAGCAACATTATTCCTTTCAGATACAGGCAAATGAATACTTTGTGCTTCTCACAGAAGGAAGAAAAAAGGTGAGTGCATCCTACACTTCTTAGTGGGTTTAAATAGGAAGCAGCATTAAGTACTATTTCAACAATTATCTTTATGGCTTTTATTATTCTAATAAAAAGTAGACAATTAGAATGGAAATTTGCCTCATCTTCTTTCCCCTATACACAAGAGTTGCAAAAACTGGCTACTCACTTGCCACTGAGCCATTTTTAAAAATAGGACATTCGCTCCAAGGTAAAGGATACTGGAAGGATTTGAAAAAGTAGAAGATGCTCCATCCAATGATCACATTATAATAGAGTCCAACAAACAAGGAGACCTGGCAAAAGGAAATTGAAATTATGCCTAGCTCTTACATAATAATATTTCATTCAAATAAAGGAAGAGGACCTTCTAAAGTGAACCCCAGAAAATGTCCCATTGCCATTTATTTACTTATTTATTTACCATATCATGTATCATACATGGACTTTCTTTATGAATGGTTTTGTGAACATATTTAATCTCCATGAATCTGGGAGCATTTATATACCAACAGAATGCTCCCAAAAGCCAATCTAATTCAGAGACTGTAGTTCATGTTTTCATTCAGTTGATGGCATAGATCTATTTCACCCATTGAAATGAATAAAGCAGTGTGCATGAGCAAGAAATGTGAGTGTACATTAAATGTGACACAGAAGCCTATGTGTGTGTTGATGTATTCCCTTCTTTTAATATGAAGATAATTTTGAATAAGAATTTTCCAAGAAAGCAAATATGAACTAGGTTCAGTGCAGATAAATCATATGAGTACAATAATATACATGTCATAGAATCCTTTTGTGTATAGAGGTTCAACCCACTGTAGTGTATGGATCCTTAACCAGCATTTGCTTGGTTTAATATGGTCATAGAATGATCTGATTGAAAGATTTTATTGTTTTCCCATTTGCCAATTGCTCAGTGATTTTCAGAAAGGAGTAATCCAGCAGGGGATGCTCTGCCTTATGGTCCTCCTATGGAACAGTGATTGAAAAGATGGCAACTGTCAAACTATATAAGAGCTCTTGAGCTAAATATAAAATGTTTATCAGACAAAAAAAACCAACAACCCACAAGCTGAAACAGAAATTTATCTTAATTAAAATTTGATGACCTTGACCTATTGCCATTAAATCAAAAGAGAAATCTGATAAATGTTGAATAAAGCAGAAAAAAATAGTTTGAAAAGATGAATCATTCTGTTTTGTACTGAATTTTGACTTCATTTTTTTTTCAATTAAGTGGAATTTAATAATATTAGCAATAAAGTGTAGTATGGATAAAATGCTGATAAAATGGTTACATTATTCTGATAATCCTCAAATAACTGGTCAGTGGAACTTTTATGAAAGAGATTTTTGCTGGAAATCGATGGTGTTAAATTAAGGAACTCATGCACAGTTTCATACACTGCCATCTTTTCCATTGAAAAATGGTTGCTCTCCACCAGCGCCATTCTCCTAATGAGCTAAGTTCCCACATTAACTACAATTTATATAATATTGTAAAATCCAGTAGGAGAACATGCAAAACGAACTCAAACATTATTCTTTACTTCATCATAATTCTCCTAGTTTTCTGCATTATTTATTCCTTTTTAGATCTTCCAGCAAGATCATGTTTCTTTTGCGTCCATTAGACTGCTTGATATTCTAGGCATTTCACTTAGAAATAAATACTTTTCAGGATGACTTGTAATATTTCTCCAATACTGAATTAATTTTTTTGCAGTGGTAATGTACTGTTACACAGTTGTTTAAACGTTAGAAGTCAACAAATTTTATAAAATGTCCCAAGCCTAAATGGCTTTTTTTCTAATGCAAACATCCTGATTATTTCCTAAATTCCTAATCAGAAAAAAATTGGAGTTTTAGGAAAAGGCTATCAATGTTGATAAGTGCAAGTAGAACATATAACACATTTAACTTTGATGATACTCCATTTATGACATTGTGCAGCTTTTGCTTGTTTTTTTTAAAGCTGTCCTAAACATGAATTTCAGATCCCTAATTGACTCCACATATTAACATATTTTTATTTTATTATTTCATAATTAATCACCCTTAGCTATAGGTAATGACTTTATCTAACTGCTAGATTATTGATGGCCAGACATTATCTTCTTTTTTTCCTGGTAGAACTTTGACATGCATCAACAGGCAGATCTGGATACTGCACACAAAAGCTTTATTTTATGAACCAGTATAGAATGGAGTTGCAAAAAAAAACACCTATCCAGGTAACACCAAACTTCTTAAATTTTAGAAAAATTAATTGAGTTAATTATCCCATTTTTTTCCTTTCCTTTTTAGCTGTTTGTTAGATAACTGGGAGTTATGAATTTTGGTCCACCTGTTGTAAATCATGCACACATTTACTATTAGGTCCAGATTTTTTACCCCAAAACCACCTACATAATATTATCCACCGATTTATAGCCTGTATAAGACATAAAAACTCATACAATCACTCACTAAGAGGCTGGCAAATCCAATGCCACCTAATCGAGGGCAAACGTAATTCCACACTCCTATGCTGCCCCGGCGGATTCTCTGTCCTACGGCCAGTTCCAGGAAAAACAGAGGGAGTCCAATAAGGATGAGCAGAATGAAATAGGGGACTAGATAAGCACCTGAAAGGGAAAATAATGTTTAATTAGATACTTTTTTTTCTGCTACAGATCATAAGAAAAAATCACCCGGCCCTGAACACTTGTAGGCAGACCAAACAGCATGCATGAGGCAAAGTTTTAAAAACCCATTTGGGGTTTCAGACAGCAAGTGGCTTTGGATAGCTCTTCAGAATTAGACCACATTTTTATTCAGCTCTGAAGCAAAAACCTTGCTTTTATCACATTACTTCATGGCTTTTTATGTTTTCCCAACGGGAAATGGAGAAATAAACAACTGACCACATCTTCTGCTTTAAAATTGCTTCTGTTTTAAAATTACAGAGTTGGACATTTAAGGCTCTCTGAGGGAATGACATCTATCCCATTTCAGATAAATACATGCAGTGGGATGTAGATTTTCTGCAAAGAGAAAGAAATTTATATCAAGAAAAAGGCTAAAAGAAAAAGTAAAAAGGGCTTCCGGGTGTGGTGATATGGCTGGTTAGTTTTCTCCACCAGGGGCTCCACAAGCAGAAACAGCACAGCACACCAGGAGACAGTTTTGAGAGAAATTTCTCTGGAGGAAGGAGAAATCAGGTGATCGCCCACTTCTGCTCTGGACAAAAGTTTCCCAGGAGAGGGAAACAGGAACTGAGTTACTTGTGACCAATTGCAAGTTTAACGGCTTAGGAGCCAAGGGATTTACAATGTACCCTTAACTGCTCTTCCACCTAACAGACATAAGAGAGAAAACCTAAGAGAGATACCCAAATGGCAGTGAAGATTTTGGTGAATGGCTTACTTTTCAAATTAAGATGGGAGGGGGGGGGGTAGATGCTATTTTAGATTTAGGTTTAGGTTTATTTGATTTATATGCCGCCCTTCTCCCAAGGACTCAGGGCGGC